AGTAACAAGAAGCTACTAGTAACAAAGGGCATCGCTACTAGGAGCAAGAATCTACTAGTAGCTCCTGGCCTTACTTCTAGTAACAAGAAGCTACTAGTAACAAAGGGCATCGCTAAGAAGCTACTAGCAGCTCCTGGCCTTACTTCTAGTAACAAGAAGCTACTAGTAACAAAGGGCATCGCTACTATAGGACTGACACGTGATGAACGATGCACTCGATCGGTGGATTCGCTGTGGTTGCCTTGATTCTCCTTCGTGAGAAACTCGCACTTCCTTCAGAGGGAGAAACAAAGGCACATCAGAATTAGAACTTCCGCTCTTTTCGAGGGTCTGGATGTTTGATCGTTGGTTCGCCTCAAGATCGCGACCCTGGAGATGCTCCCAAACCCAGGCCTGGGAGGCGCCTTGAAAGGCCACCGGCGTCCATTGCCCATGGTGTCTCACCTATCGTCTCACCCTATCCCACCCAGATCTGCCTGCCCTATCGTCTCACCTCGCGGTATTGCGCTCGACAGGACATTCTTCGAAGACTTCCAAGAGTCCTGAAGCTCCATCACCCCTTGTTCGCATCGTCCAGTCGGGAAGCACAGCGTCGCCCACTCGTGGTCCCGGCGAGGTCCCGGCGTCGGTGGAAGGAGAGACCACGGAGATCCTGAGACCAGTTTGGTCGAGCGGAGAGAACCGCATCCTTTTTGAGGGTGAAGGCCTTACTACTAGGAACAATAGCATCGCTACTAGGAGCAAGTACGCTACTAGTAGCAAAAGCCCTGGCCCAGGGCACGGAATGGATGTACCTGGCTGATTTTGGCTGGACGGGTTTGGCCCGCCTGTTCAAACAGCTTGTCGATGCTGCTGGAGCTTCAGGTATAGATTTCTTGAAGGCTGTCTGTGAGTTTGCGGACGAGGTGCTTGCCAGATCAGTCAGTGCAGGATGTCAATGTCAAAGTCTTGTGCATGGACGGTTAAGACATTTACAGTAGGAATAGTGAATAGTTCCCCAAGAATAGATAGGACCATCCCCTCTCAAACATGTATTGGTTGTTTCTATCCATTCTGGGGGCCATTGCATATGAAGGTGTACTACGCAGCCGGAGAATGCATCATCGTTTGCGGCGAGAGTTGCAGCGTGGGGGGAAACCGTCATGTGGCCTGGTTTGCAATTCAAGGCATGTAGCTGTATGAGATTGGACGCAAAAAAAGATACCATATAGAATCATAAGATATGCCTACAACCCAGACATGACCTCCTTAGTTGGCCATATGTTGGATAGTTGATCCTCCAACATGGAGGTCACTCAGGTTCTAGGCATATATATATATATATATTAGGTTCACACACCTGCATACACCATCCTGCAGAAGCATGACGATCTATCATCATGCAAAAGACCTGAAGATTTGGCTCGACTTTTCCTGTTTTTGTTTCTCCACCAGCTTGAGAGTGTTCCACGTTTTGCTCCAGCGACAACATATATCGTAAAGGTACCAAACACCCGGCGAGACGCATGACGATGTCACCAAACACAAGGCGATTAGGCGGAAAAGACCCGTGGAACTTCCAAGGTACATGCTGGTGGCCGGCAATGCAGCGGTGATCCTGGCCCACGGGGAGGAAGTGGCCCAGATCAAATCAGGTGCGGTTGGAGCTGAGACGAAAGGCTCTTGGAATGACACGCTTCATGATACTTCCATAATCTTCCATATTATTCCTGAAATTATTAATGATCAAAGAAACAAAGACGCCTTATAAATCCTTAATTATTACTTTTTCCTGAAACTCTTCATGATCTTTCACTCTGAAGGCTCTGATCCTGAGTTTCATGACCCCCTGATCCTGTGTGCCTCCAATAGTGGCCACCGCGTTCGCTTCAAGAACCCTTTTCGGCACGGCAGGTTCGCTGGTGGGCGAAGGCGGTGCCCTGGGCATCGCCGCGAAGCGATCGACACAAGTGAGTGCCTGGAAGGCTGGGGATGAGAAGGATGAGCAGGATGAGAAGAAGCAAACAGGTCAGAGAAACAAGAGACCAAATTGGACCAAATCGATTTCCCCCAGATTTTCCTCTACAGTCCTTGCCAACTTGCTATCGCTTCCAAGAGGGGATTTGGTGTCATGCGATAGCAGCAGAAAAAGAACAACAAAACAAGCAAACAAACCAACCAAGCACAGCAAAGCAAAGCAAAACAATGCATTGGGGGAAGATTTCTTCCACGAATAGAACATAATAGAACATGTTTGTGAAGCTCCCTGACATGGCATGCAGGGTGGAATGGTCCGGCTCATCCGCTTGCAAGGACAGTCGATTGGGAAGGTGTCTCGTCGACCGCAGCGACCGCACAACTGTTTGGCCGTGTTCATAGAATGGGCTTCCCATGATGAACACTGCCAGAATGCAACTCAAACTGCTTCGCACACGTAGGTTGGAGGATATCGCTCTTGGGTTCTTCAGGCCATCGCTATGAGGCATGAAAGGATGAGAAAGATCAACCCAGACTTCGGCCCATGGCTTTGCAAAGCCGGGAGGTCTTGAGAGTTTGGGAGGCAAATACAAGACCTGTGGGCCCCTTCTTTTTAAGTGAAGCAGCGAGTTCAGCTCTCTGAACTGCCTGTCACTGAGGCTGTTCAAAAGCATCCAGATGACTGTAAGGCTTTGGAAATGCAGTTCCAGAGCCGTGCCCCGGCAGCAGGAGGAAGGATCTGAACATGATGAACATGTCAGGCATCGGTCGTCAGCCACTGCTCCAATGCCCAATCTGGCTGATTCGCTGGCTGCATCCTGCTGATCAATGCATTCATGGTCAGCACTCAGAAGAAAGACGTCCACACGCCCCGAAGACTCGGTATGACTCTATGAGTTTTTGGAATACCTCGTCCCAGGGTGGTTTTCACATGGTTTTCACTCACTCCACGTCACCATGGGACGATTTCAGAACCCATCTGCAGACCCCACGTTCACGGGTCGTCACGAGGTCGTTCACGGGTCGTTCACGGGTCGCTCAGCGAAAGGATCAGGGAAACGTTACGTTCAATGTTTACATTTGGTTTAATCCATCGCAGTATGTTTTTCATTTATATACATCCATGGCACTTATATGAGACTATAGATCATATGAAGTAGAGTGGGCCATGCAAACTTGAATACCATTGAATACCAACTGGTTCACAGATCATGTGAGTCTTCAAAACAGGACCTGGTAGTTGGTCGACCAGCTTTGACGACATTCCCTCCTGCCGTGCTTGCCAGGTTCTCAGAAGAATGCAGAGGCAGAAGCGATCCGAAGAGAATGGATCGGAAAGACGGTCATGCCTATGCTGAATCTTGCCGATCGATTCATCCGCCAGGTTCTGCTGCTGAAGAGACAGCAGCAGAAATACCTTGATTATTGCATGGTGTGGGTCAAAACTGGAAGGGCCATGCTGACACCGATCGATACTTGCGTTGCCGGTGCCACCCAATGCCCCTTCCCTGAAAGAGGGGTACCGGGTTGACCAGCGAAAATGAACAGAACAGATGACTAGGGAAGGTCAACCAACCAGCGTTTTGCAGCACAGCCATGTATCAGCTCCGCAGAATCATTCCATTGATTGAATTTTCTGTGTATGGAGAATACGAAATCCCTCCTTCAATTCAAGCACCCCAAATTCAAACATACACCTTCCTGGATTCCTCCCTCCCCGATCCCTCCAAAACACCACTAAAGACGCAGCACATCTCTTTCGCCGCAGACGGTCAAAGCGGTGCAGAACCATGGGTCCAGTTCCCTCATCTAGAAAACCAACTCTACCCAACAAGCCTCCTGCCCCAAAACAGCGCACACCTGTTCAGACATGTTCAGACCGGAAACTGAGGAAGAATTGCCAAATCTTCCAGGACTTCTCCACGAAGCTCATCGCCAAGATCGCCGCGCCGCTCCTGAAGATCTCGTGGCTTTGGCGAGTCATCCGGTCCACGGTTTGACAGACCAAGTGCTCTTGGTGGGGATCTAAGATGTTCACATTTGTCTCGTTATACTTGGATGGATCTTGATAGCGTTTTCTGGGATTCTAGAACATGTAACTCACGGAACATTGATCCACCACAATCAGCCTTAACTTCCGTTGGAAGGCAAAAACCTCCCGCAGACACCAGGATAGAGTTCGCTTGGGGTAGAGTACGCCAGTACGCGCCGGAGCGTTGGATGTTGTAGCACCAGGAATTGAATAATTGAGTCTTGCACACCCATGGGTGCTAAGTACGACTGTCAAGGGATACGGCATCACTCACTCCCCACGCTTGGGATTCTCCCCCCCAGGCTTTGGCATACAGGCTCTCCCCAAGCCATCCACCAGCCTGAGGGATGTGTTGTTTTGGTTCACTCATGTCATGTGAGTGCCCAGGAAGAACAAGGGAGAACGAGGGTTGTGATCTACAGAAATTGGATGGGAGCGGTACCTTGCATGGGAGGAGGATTCCTTTTGAGCCGCAGCCACAGGGATGTTGATCAACTTTTCTGAAGCTACGAGAGAGAGGGATGTTCAGAAGGTCGCCACCAAGGGAGGCCTACCCATGCATGCCATGAACCATGGTCATGTCACGTTGATTTTCCCCCACATGTACAGTAGTTGTTTTTTTCCTATCAAATCATCAATCCTTTTGCATGCTTTCAGAGCTGGGACGCGGATTTTGTCCACCCAAAGCAGGTGTTTCATGACCAGAGCTGGGGCAAAACAAACTGGGAGTTGACCCGCATTCATCCAGAAGATCAGCGCATTCATCCACCCCAGGTTTGCCAAAGGACAGAATTTGTGCGTGGCTGGCGATGCTGCCGAGTCCTTGCGACTTGGAGTGGAAGCAGAGTGGGAGTGGGAGGGTGACAGATGGCGAGAAGAGGCCTCTTCAGAGGCCGCCCCAAGAGTCCTGAAGGGCCTCAAGAGTCCGCCCCACACGAAGTAAAGAGATGCCTGCCTGGCCTTGCCAGCTGGTTACCAGACTGAGGATGGTGATCATTGACGGCGAAGTTGAAGCCAAGAGCAAGGAGGGAAAGCCCGTGAGATTCTGAGATACCCTTTTCGTACATCAGCAGAGTGGAGCTTGGATTCTTTTTCAGATTTTGATGCAACACTTTTTCACATAGTCTGGCGTTTGGCCTGAACCTGTGCCTAAAATGGTGGACCCGAGGTGGCGCGGCTGATGACTAGTGCAGCCAGGGTCCTAGCAGCAGGGTGGCGCGACTTCCACAGCTTTTGCAGACTTTGCAATACAAAATTTCGGATTTTTGCCAGGTAACTGGAGAGCTTGCCATTCTGGGCCTCCTGTCCTTTCGGACTGCGACCTTAACAGCTTGCCAACCGACAGACACGGTGCTCAGCTTTACTGAATGCTGCGAATTTCTTCGAGCGATTTCTCTCATTGTTGCTCTTTGTGCGTGTTTGTTTTGCATCTCAGCATTTAGCTTGGATCACATTTCATGGTATTCTAATTGTCTTTCAGAAAGGAGCGCTCTGAGCGGCGCGTTTTTGCATTGTTTCATTTTGTTTGTATTTTGTTTCTATATTTGTATTGCGTTTCTATTGATTTTTGTGCCACTGAAAGAATACTATTCTGCCTCAACCCCCCCCTCCCCCAAAGGCAATTTCCAAAATTCCAATTTTCCAAAATTCCAATTTTCCAAAATTCAAATTTTCCAAAAAAACCAAAGAAACCAAAAAAACCAATTGTGCCAGGACTTTGCCTCACCCCCTCTTCCCCCCATGGTCTGTGCAGAATTGGTTTTTGTTGGTTTCTTTGGTTTTTTTGGAAAATTGGAATTTTGGATTTTTTGATTTCCTGGGATGTTTTAAATTTTCAATTTCCTTGGAAGTAGACAATACTACCACTTTCTCTCAATTCCAGAACAGTCTCTGAAACCCTCAGTGATTTGTTCATTAGGGTCTAATAATGCTCCTTCTGCTCCTTTAACTCGAAAATTGGTAATACCTGACATTTTAGAATTATAACCAGTAAAATTGACATCTGCAATTTTTTCAAATGACATACCAATAATGAATTTGTTCTTTCTGTATTGACGATACGAAAAACTTAAACTGTCATGTACTGTATAGCTCTTCTTAAATAGTAAAAGATTTATGATAATGATTGCGCTTCAAATTCTGTGTATTTCTGGGAATTGCTTAATTGAATTTGCCAACTTAAACTACGGGTGTTTGTACCTTGTAAGTCATTTGTATCAGCATTACCAGTATCATTAATTCTTCCATAGATCATAGGATTAATTCCATCTCATATACATAATTGTCAGGTAAGTATCGGTTCAGTTCTTCACCACTCCTTGGAGTTCTAAATAAGGTAATGAATGCTCCAGTCAGTTTAGAAGATGATTTTACAATATTCATATTAATTTCACCACCACCAGCATTGAATGTTTGGGTGATTGTGTGATAACAATTTGTAATGTTTCTTATCTTTGCCATTCCGCCCCCCTTCTATGTCCTGCCATTCTATCACTCAATGGCTGACAAGTAGCACCAATATAGACATCGTCATTTTGTCATTTAGTATTCTGTAAAATGTTGCCTTGGAGTAATCCACCATAACATTACATATGTTAGCTAAGTTTAAATGTTTTTTTTTTTTTTTTAAAGAGTGATTGGGGTTAAATCCATTGCTTATATTGGTGCCGGGATTGATGTTCCAAAGGCCGTTCCCTTCAAAATTGATATAGCTGTGGCTCATTAAAGGGTTAGGTTCTTTCAAATCAGAAGTTACAGCGTAACCATCCAACATTGAAACAATATCGGATGGATTGCGGTAGTCAAGTCTTTTGGGACTTTTGTTCCTTTCCTTTTTGTTTTTATTGTAGGGGTAGCATAGGTTGTTGTAGCAAATGTATTAGGTTGTTCTTGATTGATCTTATTACAGCACTTGCAAGGTTATGCCCAACCAAACGGGTTATTTCTGGTGACTTTTCCAATTCTTCTATAACATGTTTGTATTTCTCACTGTGATGAACATTTCTAGTAGGTACTAATGACAGATCATCCAGAATATCCCTTGTTAAAGATCCATCACAACCACCTGTGCCACTTATGTATAAAGTCTTACTTGTTTTGTAAAAAGCACTTGGTGATGAATAGGCATTCCATAAGCCCCTGCGGTATTCTATCTTCTCCTTGTTTGCTATATTTTTCTCTTCAGCATATAGTGTTCTATGTTGTTTAAAGTGATCATTTAAGTTTCTTGTAAAGTCATTCATTCTATCATTCCAATTTTGGTTCTTTTTTTCATAATCACTGTAGGTTTCTTGACCGATCTTACTGAATAACATCTGGGCGCTTCCAGGCAGATCCTTCCAGGCAATGTCAGACACATCAATCATTCTCAAGAAAACGCATGAAAAAAAGGTTGAAAAATGCTCATTTTCATCGAAAAACGCGCCGCTCACAGCGCTCCCCTCTCTTGTCTTTTGAGATGGAGCTTGTCTATTGTCTCGAGGAGGTCCCTTCGTTCGCCGTCGCTCGCTTTCGTTCCACCTTCTTTCTGGCTGGTCTCGGCAGGTCGTCGTGACGTCCGTGGGTCTGCGTCAAATTTTGAAGTCCTCGGAAGCTGCCAGCAAGCACTTGCAGAAGCTCGCCGAGGAGAGATCGGCACAGATCGATCGAGGCGCGGCTGGTGAGGGAAGGGAGGAGAGGAAGAGATGGAAGCGGCCTCAGAGAGGGAAGGCCTGAAGAGGAGGTGATGGAGCTCTTGGTGGAAAAGGATTTGGATGGATTTGCTTGGTGAAACACCGTTGGGTGATGCGATCTGACGCGTTCTTAATTCCTTTTTCCCTCAACCGGAGAGTCCCTTTCCAGACCTTTTCGACCGGTTCGCGTAGCTTCGCTCGTGCAACGGGGTGTGCAACGGGTTTCCTGCTTCTCAGTGCAACGGGGTGAAGCAGGGATTTGGAAGACGAAAAAGAGAAGAGCCAGGGATCCTGGAGTCCTGGGATCCAAATGGGTGAGAAGTGGACCAAGGGCCAACGGCAAGGAAGATCGCTCCGGTCACAGCTGGCCTGCAGATCACTCCTGCTATCCCGCCGGGACAAAAGAGGACCAGTCTGACAAGTCTTGTGGACAGCGCTCCACATCACCGTTCTGGGCCAGCGACCAACCGAAAGACACATCGAACACCAGCGGTCAAGGCCATGTTTCAACATGTGCGGTGTCTTTCTCATTGTTGGTCTGACTGAGCCAACAAAGTTACACACAAACTCAGACACTATTTACGAGGTGAAACAGTGGGGCCGATTCCTGTGTTGGTCAACCAGTGGACGCATATATTCAGTCCAAAACAAGGGTAAACGGGTAAACATGCAAGGTAGCTAGAATCACCTGAGTCTGTGCTCAGCTGAAACAAGGACCTTGGGCCATTCCTGCCGCCTCTCCTGTCCGCGCGGCCGTCCGCAGGTTTTCCAATTCTATCACTGCCTCTTGGAGCATCAAATGATGTGGTGGTTCGTACTATAGCACTTCACTCGGCCCCTTGGACCAGAAAGAGAGCTCCGCTCAGCCGCTCATGTTCAATAAATGTTAACGTCCTACTCTCAAAGGAGCCACAAGCGATCTTGAATCACCATCGGAGTCTCATGGATCTCTTTGATTCAATCAACTCCCGTGGACTTTCTGAATGGAAGACATTCGCATTCAAGACTAAACAGAATGATCCATCAGCCCCACCAAATCGTTCGCACCACTTGGCGTGTTTTGCGCCAGACACGTCCGGACCCGCGCCAGACGCGCTGCATCCTGGCGCCGGGCGAGACATGGCGGATCCCCGATAATGCCGCGGCCAGTGGCCGTCATCTGTGGGTCGGCAGCTCAGACGTGCGGGGAAGGCTGCCCAGACGTCCGTTCGGGAGAACCACACCTGGTCCGTATCATTTGTTGGATTAGAGTTCGATAGTTTTCATGCCACAAACGAACAACAGTTCTTACTAAGAACGTTTGTTTTGTTCGATGTGGTTCTGTTGGGAGTTCATTCGGAGGAACAACATCGAACCCTCTATGGATTTATACATGATCAATATCATTTTGTCCAACCTAAAAAGATATTTGAACGTTGTGTCGGTGCATTGAATGTTTGTGTGTTCTCTTTTTAACGAAAGCTCGGCAACAGCAATGCAGCTACTTCCGCTTTCAACCTGGCGCCCCAACGTATTCTACACAGCACATTGCCAGGCGTGTCGGATGAATTCACCACATTCGCCCATCGACCCCCCCGCTCTGCGCGCCCGAGATCTTTGCGCGGGGACGTGCCGGAGTCATGGTGGGGCCCTCGGAGCATCCGATGAACCCCGTCCAGACGGTGGGCACTGGGGCGATGGCGATCCTGCCGGAATGGCTGTGCATGCAGTGCCTCGGGCGGGAAGAGGTGGGAAGCGGGAAGGAGCATGAATTAAGCTGAAAAAAACCATTGAAAAACTGAAGAAATGACCAGAAAAAAACAATGCAATTATGTAGAACTCAAATCAAGAATCAGGGCCACCACGAACCACCACTTGGCTGGTGAATATTGAGGAACTGGCAGTGGGTGGCACTGGTGGTGATTTCTTGACTGATGTTTCATGGGAGTTACACTACAAAGTTTGCAATGTTGAATTGTGACAATTCTTGTGGAAGGTCATCGAATATCGACCACGTTACCCTGTTCTCAAGTCGAGTTGAGTAGCTGTGTTTTGATCATTTAGACTCCACCCAAAAGCAAACCCATGCAAAAGCAAGAAGGCACAGATGAGTGGGGGTAAGAGGAGACCCAGGGCTGTGAACTTTGAGACCCAGGGCTTTGAGATGGGGTAGGCATTGCCCGCTTACTCACTGGAAATATGGCAAGAGTGAAGTGGAACTTTCTAGTGGTCAGGTAGCAATGGACCTCCTAAGCATAGCAACTCCGTCGGCAAGAGAAGACCCGTATGAACATTTAAAGGCATGCTGTGTGGAGTATCTTGGCTTGTCCTCTTGCTATGTCCAACGTATGCACAATACGGATATGTCACCAGGCATCGTGCTATCCTAGGAATATGAGGAGCTTCGTTGGATGGAGCGTTATATGATGTCCTCTACATCCCCCTGCTCTATCGTGTTTGCATTCCAAACAGATCCTGCATGTTTCTAGCGGGTTCAACACACTCACACACCAACCATGCAGCAGGGTACAAAACAATAAACATCACATGCGACATTCGTTTAAGATAGGCGGAGTGATGGGCAGCTGGGGGGGAAATCAGATATACTACAATATGATATACTGTAATATCATGTGATATCTTCTTTTGGGTCATCATAGATCAGCAAACCATGTAATCAACATGATAATTCTGCAACCATATTTTCCAGTATTCATCCTCGACCTCGTTTGCTTGGCCCGCCCGGACATCATTACTGTAAGCCATCCGGGCATCCGGTGGGTTCCAGGTACGAGGCCAGGGCAGTGGCTTCGACTCCAGTGGACGCTTTTCGGGTCAGTTGTATGGACATCCAGCTGGCCACGCTCTCCGCCCGGGCCCCAAGGACGACGGTTTCGGCCGTTTTCGGTGGTGGTCACGGTGAATGGATGCGACAAGGGCACCTTGGGATGCGAAATACCCGAGAGAAACATCGGGCTATTGAAACATTATATACCAATCACAAAGGGGTGCTTAATGGAGGTTAAGGGTGCCCATGATCCACTCACTGGATGGGCATAAGCACCACCCCGTCTTGTGACTCCTGGTATAGATCTTTTAGGGGGTTCAACCTTGGGATGGCCATGAGAGCTGGGAATCCACGTTCGTCGATGCACGGTGGGTCTTCGGATTCTGGGTCTGTTGGTCAAATTTGGTCAACCTTTAAGAAACAGATCCGTTGGTTTATTGGTAAAGGAAGGCATCGCTGCACAAAACCTTTGTTTGATTGCCTTGTTTTCCTGTTGACATGTCTGTCGGAAGGCGTCCTTTGACTGAGTTGCGTCGTTTGGAGATGCTTCGAGAATCAGGGCGTCCCACACAGACCACTCACAGTTCGAGCGCTTTCGCAGCGTGTGTGTCCAGGGTGCCTCACCGTGGTGTGTCCACCAAGCTACTGTGGTGTGTCCACCAGAGCTAGGCCGCAAGACATAGGAACGACATAGGAAGACGTTGAGATCGCGCTCGCACGTGCTCAGGTGAGAACCATTCCCACCTGGTTCCAACTCTTCCTGGGCCTCGAGCGTGAAGCCATCGAGAACACCACGGCCAAGCTCTTCCGGGCCAAAGCGGTGATCGACATGAATCGTCCCAAGGCACCTTCCATGTGCACGAGTTCGCTCGCGATTCGGCCGGGCACGGAGTCGCCGTTGGGTGCGAGGTCGAAGACGGCTGGAGGCTAAAGAGAAGAAACAAAACACACACACACACACACGACGGGAGGGCCGAGAGATTGGGGGTGCTGGTTCACCACTCAGTGTGTTTCAGTGTGTTTTCACCCATTTAGATGGTTCATCCAAAATTCCTGTTTCATCCTGTTTCCTTGTGCTGTGCATCGCTGGTTCACCGTGACCCACTCACATTTTGGTACAATCGGCGGTCTTTTCTTGCCAGAGGCACAAATGCTGAAGCCTTTGAAGAAGATCAGGAGTTGCAACTGGCGGATGGGTCGGCATGGGAGACCGGACACTTTCTATGCAAATTCCAAGTTCAAAGGAGAGGCGAAATGATCGGACATGACATTGAGATTTGAGACCCGCAGACACCTCAAGGTTTAAACAGATAATAGGAATATGAACAAATCTTTCTTGTCCCGGTTGCCTGGGACAAAGCGTTTTGCGCATGGAAAGTGGTCATAACACCAACCCATCTTCCGAGCGGTGGGAAAGTTGGGCCTCGCTTTGGCCTCGCAGTCTGTTGAGGTGTCAACCGTTGAATGGATCCGAAGGGTCAACCGTGGATGGCCATGGGCCGTCTGAACGGATGACCATGAAATCCGATGACCAAACAGATGGTCTTCCATGATGATTTAGGAAGGCAACAAAAATGGTCATGATGGTCTTCCTGATACCATTTGGTCTTCCAATGGTCTTTCTGTGATTTTCCGATTTAAAGATATCTAAAGATAATTTGAAACAATATTTAGGTGAGGCAGACACATCCACTTCCATGATGATGTCAGGAAGGTAGACCCCTCCAAGCCTGACAGGAACCCATTTTGGACAGGTTCCGCCAACTTTTTACGAAGGGCCTGGTGACCAACAGCCTGGGAGGTTCTTCGTTGTGGTTGAAGAGTCATGACGTGTTGAGCTTCATATTGTCTGTCCTTCCATGGCAACTGAGAATATGTAGACCTTTAAACCCAACGTCTTTTATTGCACACATGTGCTATTGCTGACATGTTAACACCATTTAGCACCTATTGGTCTGTGGCAACAAATCTGCTGCATCCATTGAGGTTTAAGTTTTAAAATGGTTTGAACATCAAATTAGAGACTTGATTGATCATGTTTGGCTTCCACCCTTGCTTGCTCAGACTTGCAAGTCATGCAATTTCATGCCACTTGCAAGAGGTGGTGACCGGGACTTCACGCAACTCTTCCGAGCCATTTCTGCCGTCTCGCAACAGCGTAGGAGTGAGAGCAAAATGAGAACGACGGGCTGCTCGTCTCAGTGGCCCCTGATAAAGACCAATTGGTGTGGCTCTTACGCAACGCCGGGCGGAGTTTGATCGGTGAACAAAGTGAGGTTCAGAAACTAGAACCATGGGTTCGGAAACTTCTTGGGTTCAGAACTAGGATTCAGAACCTTTGATCGGTGCTGCAGTATGGTGCAGTGGTAGCAGGGCATAAATCCATTACTGTAGTGCTCCCTAGTAGACCGTTGAACGGTAAACCCCCACATGGAGACGTAAAACCATTGTGGCACGGGGGGGTTATGAATCAGTCACTGTCTACATTCCAGGAGTCACAAGACGGGGTGGTGTTTAGTCCCATCCAGTGAGTGATAGTGAGTGGATCATGGGCACCCTTAACCTCCATTAAGCACCCCTTTGTGACTGCTGGTTGTGTTTCTCATGTAGTTCCCCACCCGTAGGACTGTGGGGTTGTTAGATTTTTAGAACTTTGGACTTCAGTACGCCCGGTAGCCCAACTTAGCTCTTCCACAACACACTGGCCAAAGTGGTCCCTGAGTAGCGCAACTTAGCTCTTCCATAGCACATTGGCCAAAGTGATCCCTGAGTAGCGCAACTTAGTTCTTCCACAGCACACTGGCCAAAGTGATCCCTGAGTAGCGCAACTTA